TAAAAACTCACATCTTTCCATCAGACCTGCAAGGCAAAGAGGAGGAGCAAGCAGAGATATTTTCTGGAGAAACAGTAAATAAAGGTGTATCAAAAAATTCAACCAGAACACAACCCTAAATGAAATAAATAAAGGGAGTTTCTTCCTCGTCTCAAGTAATAAAAAATAAAATGTAAAAACACTTTAAATGTGCAGAGCTGGTTCTTTAAATGTAGCAGACCATGACAGTGGTTATTAAAGGCTGAGTAAAATTTGATGACGATACTGTGTTGAAAATTATAAAAGTCCTTTAAACTGCCTAATGAATATTTAATAAACAAAAGCAATTAAAAGAAACAATGAAATAAATACGTATATTGCTAAATGTAACCTCATTTTTCTGAAACAAACCTCGTCTAGGACTGTTTCACTAAATCTTTCTCTTCTAATTTCTGTTTTATTAAAAAAAAAAGCCATTTGCTAGGCTCCTCAACGAACTCAACTTGTATAAAAATATACTTATGTAAAACTCATCTTTGTTTACTTCTCATGTGCAACAAGGGGCAGCTGTCTCTCTCCGTTCATTGAAAGTTAAGCTGAGTCTTAGCTTTCTTGAATCCATTCATGTGAACGTTTGTTTCCTTGGAGCTGCAGCCATCACTGTCCTCGCCTTCGTTGTTGGTGCACCAGCTGGGTTTCAGAGGAGTCAGCTCAGGTGCTATGACATCTCCATCCTACAGGTAAAAAACAAATGTTTCTTAAGAGATTTGCAAGAATGCAGAGTCACCAGAATTAAAGCAGAACCAGTAAAAGGTTGTGTAGTTTTACCTTTATTAAATTAAATTCAGATGTGACCTATTTTTACTATAATACCCATCTATACCACCATCAGACACTGGTGTATTCTCCAGTTTTGCATCCATCCATCCATCCATCCATATTTCTATACATGTATTTGAGAGCGCAGTTGCAAAAAAATGGGATAAATCTGCCAGAACACTTTGTTTGAGCTTTCACAGTGTGTGACATTTTCTTGCAGTGCAAACATGGCGTGTGGGTTATCAGCGCTGAACAAACACGCAAAACAGTATCTGATGGGGAAATGCAAATCAACATAACTGGATCATATAGAGTTTGTTCCATTTCCAAAAACCAAACTGAGCCTGGAAAATTGATAAATGGCATGAGCAGATGATTGTATAACTACAACATGTTCATCTTTAAGAGGGTTTTTGTCGTCATTACATTTTATGATTAATGACTAAATCAAAGAGTAATATCCTAAGTTGTGTCAACAACAAATGTGAGTTGTGTTCATTAGTTTATTTTTACAGTTTCTTTCTAGAAAGTTACTAAAAAAAGCAACATTTTAGGCATGTGGTGAAAATATTCATAGACAGTCTGACATAATGCATATTAAGGTTTATTTATTACTTTGAACTAATAGGCCTCTGAGACTGCACAGACATATTGGGTAGTGTTCTGTTAATGCAGCGTCTTAGAAAAGGAGATAAATCTGTTTTTTAATGTTATGACATAGACACAACATTAAAATGTTAAATATCTGACCAACTGTTTATCCTATGCAGTCTGCAGAAATACCTGAGGCTTTGAGAAGTTCCTGTCCATGCACCACTGAACAAAGTGCTTCTTGGCGGCCTCCAGGGTTCTCTCATCTGTCTTCTTACAGTACACCCTGACCAGCTGTTCAGCAAAGTGCTCTGGGAGAAGTTTAGATACCTACAAGGAATGATGGCATCACATGAATCTTTAGTAATAAATTCAAAACAGAAGCAGAGAAAAATGTTAGACATTTATGTCAAACTGCCGTTTTTGGGGAGAAATAACTTTCAGATTGATTCCTGGTCTAACACCGCTAAATCAAACAGCTAATCTGATTAGCAAGCAAATAGGTTCTACAGAGGCCTGATAATGAAAGAGGAACAGTGGATTTGGTTTTACATTAAATTCTTACCTGGTTTTTATTGATTTTTATGGCTTTTGTTGGGTCATCCTTGCAGTAAAAACGAACGTTATTGATGGGGTTCTTTTCCTTCATCCCATAGTCCATCATGATAACCTACAAGAAAAGACAATATTTCACCAAATAAAACACAGACAAAAAACCTCAATCGTTTCCCAAAAAACATTACCGTATTTTCCACACTATAAGGCGCACCGGATTATAAGGCACACCTTCAATGAATGGCCCATTTTAAAACTTTATTCATATATAAGGCACACCGCATTATAAGGCGCATAGAATAGACGATACAGTTAGGGTTGCCACCCGTCCCTTATTGAACCTACAGGACGTGATTTGTTCCGTACTCTACAAATGTGAATGTGTAATAGAAAAGTGTTACCCAAGTACATTATATAGTAGGCTGCCTCAGTCATTGTTTTACTCACGGTGTTGGTGTTGTGATATTATGCCCAACTGCTTTCTGAGAAACACAGACCAACCGACACGCTGCCGCCGCAGTCTCTGTCTGTCTTCCCCCGCCCCCCGTCCCCTTCCCGGCTTTAAATGTATAGGGGCTGGTTCCTTGGTAACCCTAGTCGAAGCACCCCGATGAATGCCAAAAGCCACTTTGTTGACATAAAGAATGTCAACAAAACAGTCTCACTCCGATCGGCGAGGAGAGGTTTCCGCGACTGGGCCGGGGCGTGGCCGCACGATGGTCACCCTTCTTCGTTCGCGCACAGCATGTTCTTGGAGAACGTGGTGCTAAATGACCTGCAGACGACCTGATTATCAGGTTGGTAGATAGATAGGTCAGTCAAACTTTATAAACAAACCAGCATTCTGACAGCTCTCCCAGCATGCACCGCATGCTTCTTCTTCTATGGGCGAAAATGAAGTCGGCAGCTGCTTACCGTAGTTGTTAGACCTGTTGTGGCTCAATATTGGTCCATATACAAGGCGCACCGGATTATAAGACGCACTGTCGGCTTTTGAGGAAATTGAAGGTTTTTAGGTGTGCCTTATAGAGCGGAAAATACGGTAACTCCTGAAGTTTTGCAGAAAGGTTACAAAGAGATAATTTTTTAAATAAAACTCACGGTGACAACAAAGTCCTCTGGCTGAAGATCAACATCATGAGAGCCACTGTGGGGGATGGACTGAGCCAAATCTGCCTCCCAGCTGTGAATATTTTCCTTAAGGTAAGAAAATAATTGGTAAAGTGAGCAGCAGACATCTCCGTCTGAGCAACATTAACATGAAACACAAAAACTACTGCAGTAAATCTGAGTTTTTATAAATTATTTCTCACCACAAAGGCCTTATTTTAACTGAATCCAAAATTTGGGATGAACATTTACATTTCTGCTCCTTTTAGTTTATTTTCCAGTATGTAACTTAATGCAGCCTGACTGTGTAATTTGAAAATATACAAACAATTCAGGAATCTTAACTCTCCAATAACCTACATTTACAAAACAGCTATCCAATTACAAACAAACCTGAGTGACGGTCAAGGCTTTGTCTGGCTGGGTTTGCCCCAGACACTTGTACAGTTTCCGGCAGATGATTTTGTGCAGTATCAGCTTAGCTTCTGCAAGCTCCGGAGAGGATGAGTTCAGGATCTGTTCAAACACATTATCTACAAAACAAAGAGAGAAAGAAGAAAAAGTTATTTCAACTCAAGAAACTTGTGCAATTCATTGGAAAAGTTAACCACAAGAGAAAACTTGAAGTCAATGGTAAAAGACCATTAACTTCAAGACTGGCATACCTTTCTGTTCATGGTTTTTCTAAATTATAGTCATGGAGCCTAATTTACATTTGACAAGTATTATACCATCTCTTAAGAAAAACGATGCAATGAAGGGAAAACAACTATATACTAAAAAGGTAAGTGACAAATGCAGCAGGCCATATTCTGATTTCACACTTTAAAGAGTCACATATAGGGACTTGTGATTGACAGACTGTTTATGTTACATCAACAGATCTGAGTAAGGAGTCACTATGACTGGCTGCATAGAGATGTGAAAACAGACCGAATCAGCTCTATAGAAAAAGATGCATCTTAATACACTTAAAACTCTTTAAAAATATATTTCAGGGAATCTATTAAAAAAGTGAAATAATTTTCTTTACCGATTCGCTATGCAAAATGTGACATTTCTTACAGTAAATACAAACCCAAATGGTAATTAATTGGATTGCATAAGCAATCTAAAGATTTTTTTTTTCTTTAGGAAATCAAACAAATCCAGCAAATGGGCTGTAGCTTAGATTTTTTTACACAACTGGAGAGCTACTTCGATGACAGACTGCTGTATCCCAGGTGCACAAAGGAATGAACAAAATGCTTGTGTCACTTTAAATGGTGAATGCAAACTTCTGGTTTTAACTGTATGTGTACAATATCATAATCACAGGTATTTGAATAAATACTTAGTAGGATATTATATTCCAAGTGCCAAATTATGCATGCCAGTAATGTATGTAGCCTGCTGGATGGGTTTTCACTTCCTTCGATGGAAATGTAAATTTTTTGTAGCTGAGATGTTAAAGCTCACAAACAGTAGTTGGGACACTGATGAAGGAAAATAAAGAACAGAAACATGGAAAGCATGGATTATTCATCATCATTACATTATTCAGCAACACTATTATTACTACATGTTTTTTATCATATTGTGCCATCTTAAAAATCAACCCATGACTTATCACAATCTATGATTCATTACCTCACAGCATATGTTTCAAAGGGTCATTCAGCTTTAATTTGACAAAAAAATTCCATGTAAATTTACAGTGTTTATTTCTGACCTGTCAGCTTTGTGTAGGCCACCATGTCATCAATGGCTGTGGACAGAGTGAAGATTTTCCCCTGAGAACCTTCAACGTGGATGTGCGGATCTGCTTTTAAAAATGCTTCTGTGATCCTGTGGATGTAGATCAAACTTATCACGACTTCAGAAAAACTCATGCATGGTCCAAGAAGGAAAAACCACAGCAACTGAACAGAGTAATAACTCACATCGTCTCGATGATGTTGCCCACTTTGTGCTGGTAGGCTCTTCTGTGGAGACAGTTCCTAGTGTGGAACATGTCATACAGATTCCCCACCTCCTGTTTAAAACCACATCCTGAATGTTAGTGACCAACTTTCACATTTTCTAACCTGTTAAGAAATTAAAAAATACAATTACACCTTGTCTCTTGTGCAGATGTGCTTCTGCCCATCCACTTCACAGACCCTTGCAAATTTTAGGAAGCGACGATAATCAAAATTGTTCTGGATGCCTAAATGATAGCAATCCCTGAGGACAGAGAACAAAACAATGAAAACGTTATATGCAATAGGAACATAATTCACATTACATGTTGATTTAGCATTGAACTGTCGAATCCAAACAGTTCCCCACCTTGCGAAATAATCCCATTTATCCACATCAATTCCATTCCTCTTGTTGGCGACAATCTCATAGAGGAAGGACTTGTCTTTAGAACGGCCTTTGTACGGCCACTATGGAAAAGAAAAAAAAAGAAAAAATGAGTTCATCATTGGTAAATATTGGTTTAGGAGGCTGAAACATATGCTTTATGATTCAGGTGTGGTTATTTATAATGACGTCAATCCCTCTTCAACAAACACTTTATAATCCACATCAGTCCAAACACCTGTGGCATTACCCTTTTACTGTAAACATGTCCTGAAAACTTTCCATCCAATGGATGGTGGTGGGTTTTGGTATTGCAACTAATGCCACCAGATTCTTCCATTTAAATTCAACTCAATGTTGGAGACAATATAAATAATAGATGGACATTCATCTTCATTTACATGCATCTATGGTATTTCTGCTGTGGTACATTTACAAGGTTTCCCCAGTGTATTACAGGCCTGGCGTCCGCCATCCTTTCCTAGCGCCACTGCCAGGCTAAGCCTTTCTTGTTATTGCTTTTAGGAAAAAAAAAAAAAAAAAAACTTTTTTCCTTTTTTAAGCCAGATTGCAAGCGTCTTTGTAGCTCTGAGCGCTTCATTGGTGGAGCAAATTTATTCCTAAAAGATATGTTTATAGAAGATAGATTTATAGTTTATGCATTTAAAGCTGGACCAATCACACCGCTTTCACCTCTGCGTGTTGCCTCACGCGTTGCAGTAGCTGGATTAAGTTTACCTCACCGCGGATCCCGCACAACTCCTGTCACAAATAGGACACAGACTAACCTGTATGGATATTTACATCAACCCCCTATGAGGAATTATGATTCTTTCCAGAGTTTCTGATCAAGGTAGGACTTTAAACACCACTCTGGTTAGCTCTGGTTGAGCAGCAGGAATAACTTGTAGTCGTGCTTTCAGAGGTGAACTGAACGAGCAGTGAGAATGATTTATATTTGTGCGGCTTTTCCATCTCAACACGCTGCCCAGTGCCCGGCTTTGCCTGCGCTGATAAAGTTTATCAGCCTGTTCCCGGTTGGCCGGTGTGTTAGTTAAACTAGCGTTAACCTGATCGTGCAGGTTCAGCCTGGTGAGGAGCTTCGCGCTCTCCTGTCTAAAGCATCATGCTGATTTTATAATTATAGTATTTTTCTGGTTACATAATGCATCAAAATCACATGCTTTGTCCACTTAGTCAGACAGAGTTAATTGTGTGGCCGCGCGGAGATCTGAGAAACTCGTCCCATAAACTCAACCAACCAGAATAGTTTCTGTGACGCTTATTAAAAACTCAGACACGAAATGAAAGAGCTACTAAAGCCACATTACCAGCACTGAATTAAATCTACCGTTTGTTGAGCAACTCTGCATAGTTCATCAGACTGCCTCATCATGCAGGGCCGGTCCAAGGCTGTATGAGGCCTTGAGGAGAATTTGATGTAGGGATCCCTTTTGTTGCCAAAAACATCAGCCCCTCTAACAGATGTGTTGGATTTAATCTGAGAGAGGGGGAGTAGTTTAATTTTCCAACCTCAAAAGCAATCAGTTTTAATTGCAGTTTACAAAATTGAATTTGCCAACAAACAGCTCAAATTTAAAGATTAAACTCACATCAGATTGTAGCTAGGGTAACAAAACAAAGTATGAATATTGTTCTTTGAACTTTTACAAAGTAAACTTGCAAGCTCATTAAAATCTGTTAATTTAATTTTTTTTTAAATTTATGTATGCTGAAATTGAATCAAATTTAGCAGCATTGATCATCTCAATAAACAAGTGTTACATTCATGTATGGGTGGTCTGTGTTAAAATATTAGCATTTATGGGGCGCCTGAAGCCCTGGGGGGCCTGATGGAGCTGCTGACTTAATTTGGATTAAACAAAAGTGCAAATAATTGATATTCATTTTAATTGTATATTTTGATTTG